ATGGAGCGGGAGAGCTTGCGATGCTCGCCATCGGCGTGATCCTCGCTGACTGTGAGCAGGTGATTCTTTCCCCCGCCCTCCATTGTTATCTTTGGCTGCTGGTATGATGGAGGAGGGTGAAGATGTAGAAGATGATGATGGCGATGTCAGGCTTTCGAGATTATGGCCGAACAGGTGACGTCTCCGGGTAGAAGCTTAGATTTGTATTGCCTCGTCTCGTCTTGCTTCTCTTTCCTTTTCAACTCTTCGCCTCAGATCTGTAAAATGGTGGAAGGTTGTGGCGGCGGAGCACGTTGGGCACCTTGGTCTCTTGTGTGAACCGAAAGAGGTGTGGAGCACAGTTTTTGTTGTTGGCTTCGAACTCCAAACGATGAACAAAACGACACTTTCCTAATCAACCACTTTCCTTTTGAATAAATAAATCAACTTTTCGCTTTTTCTTGAAATATACGGACGGGGAAATAAATAAAACCAAGAAGCGAGTGGCGAGAGGTGCCTGCAAATGCCAAAAGGATACGGGCACGGTGGATTCCCGGGTGGTCGCCCACCCCAGTACTAACACCGCCTGGCGCAGCTTAACTTCGCTGTTCGGATGGGAAGCGGTGCTTTCTGCGCAGTATGGCCGTATCCGATAGTATTTCATGCGTGGTGTCTGCCGACGGCCATGTTTCTGTGGCGACGACACATTACACACGTACCACCAGAAAGGAACGGGAAAGCATTTTACAGGAGGAGCGAAAGCGAAATGAAAAGATTAGAAGACTGCTCGCTCCTTGTGGGGGTACGCTGACGTCGTTTGGCTCTCGGCGCCCGCGTTGAGTCCGAACGGAGCGATGGTCGCCTCCACCAGATCACCCGTGTCCTCGTCCTGCCCACAACACACACACGCGCGCACACGCAAAACACACCGCCACACGAGAAGAGAAAATTAATCAACAAAACGAAGCTGACCAGAAGAGAGATCTGCAAAAGTGTGAGGAGGCAGCCCAGCGTACGACGAACTGGTAGGAGCCGTGCATGGTGCCGTAGGGGGTCGCCATCCAACCCGACGACGACTTGTAGTGAAAGTTCTGGCCAGGAGCCTGTCGGTGTGTGTGTCGTGTTGTTGGTCGTGTGCGTGTGCGCAATAGTGTGTGCGTGAGCGTGACGCG